TTATCACCTTTGACAGATCAAGCACTAGATTTCTAGTGGAAGAAACGCAACATTCGAGAGAAGTTTGACCCGCTAGGAGATTTACAGTAAGGCTAGATGAAATGTGGTGTGATTGTGGCAAGTTCCAGAAAGTTCATATCCCTTGCTCGCATATACTCGTTTCATGCTTACATGCACGTCACAACTATCAAACTTACATATCTCCCATATATACCTTACAACCAGTTGCAAAGGTATACGAAGGACAGTTTGGAGAGCTTCGACATAAAGATTATTGGCCTACTTACACTGGTTCAACTATGTGGCCAAATCTAGAATTCAAGAGGACTTCCAAGGGTCGGTCAAAGTCCAGCAAGATTAGAATAGAGATGGATATTAGAGAACAACATAATCGTGTAAAAAATTATTCCTTTTGTCACACCATTGATTTTATTGTTGTAATGAGTTTTAGTAAATTTATTTAGTTATATTTATAATGTTAATATTCAACAAATTTAATTACTTGATGTTACTCTTTGAGACTACGTTGTATTTGTGTTGAAAGGGTAAATTGTGTTTGCTGCAATGTTAAGTTTGAAGCTAGATTTAAAGGAAATACCTTAACGGCCCGTTCCAAACTACTAAAAAGGGCTAAAATCCCTAGTTAGAACGGGTTGTTCCAACATTGAGGTTATGTGAAAAAACTCAACTCTAGAACGACCCGTTCTGATTTAAGAATGGGCCGTTCCAGTTGCAAAAAAAAATACGACGAGAATGCATGCAGAACAGGCCGTTCTGGTTGCAGAACGAGCCGTTCCAGTTGCAAAATTCCCAAATTACCTGAACCTAAAATGAAAAATAAAAATAAAAAATATGTAAACAGTAAATGGTGTTAGTTGGGAAAATAAATTTACACAGGTGCTATTTGAGTAAATTTATTTTAAAAATATATTATTTGAGTAAAAAACTCAAGTAAAACATAAATATTTTGATATTTCCTATTTTAATTTTTTAATCAACATATACAATCTTACTATTTTGATTTTTTTAATCCACGTATACAATAAATAAAAAGTAAAAAAAATAAACATGTATCATAAAAATTTTATTTTATTAATAATTAATTTTTTTAATATATTACATTATATATGTGAACATTAATATATATATATATATATACTTTAAATATGTTTCAGAGCAATGACATGCACTCATATCTAATCCACGTTTCCTTCGTCGATACCTCAACTATCACTTTGAGAAATAAGAAATCACGTTCCTTTAATTAAAAACAGTATTTTAGTAAAAAAACTAATTAATAACCCAAGGAATTTTGCTTTCATTATCTAGTGGTGATACGTGATATAATTATTATTTTAGTAAAAAAGTGTAAGCAGATGTAGGAGAAAAAGGAACCGAAAATAGTAGAAAAAAAATAAAATAATTATTAAAAAGGCATCTACATTGAGGATAAAATAATCATAATAAAAATCGAGATCAAATGACCATTATTATTCTTTATATCCTTTTATCTAATGTTATATATATATATATATAACCCAATCCATTGTTAGAACAATCATAAGTAAAAAACAGTGGTTGTATGACAGTTAATACTTAATAGAATCTAGTAGTTGTGGTTTAATGATAGTTAATAGAATCTAGTAGTAGTGGTTTTATGGAAAAAATTTGTGACACTTGCATCATAACAATAATAAAATTACTATTTTGGCCCTTGATAATAAAAAAGGATTAATCAAATGTAGACATGATATCAACTTTATCTATTGTTAAAGATATATAATAAGTATTTAATATGTGAAATATATAAATTAAAATACCAGTTCTATAATAGTGGAAAACACATTATACACACTAGTAAAATACAGTAAATACTTTGTGTTTCATGAATGTTTAGTTACAAAACTACAATGAAATTGCATTTTATTAAAGAAAAAAAAAGTTTTGAGTAATTAATTTTTATTTGAATTAATAAAATAAAATTATTGAATTGTCCTACTAAAATAAGATAGTATGCGATTACCAAAATAAATAAAATATACAAATATTTTTGTACGGGTAGTACCATTCGGTCATGCCCTTCAATACGAAGTAACCAAATCGGCCATCCCTGGGTCGTCCTAATGAACGCACATCGACCACTTACATCCGATTGGCCTGAATGGAAGCTAGGAAAGACCCTATCTGATCAGCTTATCATGTTGCATCTGGTCGTCGACACCTAATCGGCATTGCTAATGGTCGAAGGAACTGGAGTGAAGCAATCTAGGAGACCGGTAGCCATCACTAAACAATGATTAGGGGTTAATTGTGCGTATAAACCAGTTAAGGGCGTATTACCTAATCAAGTAACCCTACCCCAGGGCCCATGGAGGGTAGGGCCCATTGATGTCACTATAAATAGTTCACATCTCGAGGTAACGTCACTGTTCATTAATTACTATCGATATCTGTGCTTGTCAAGACTTGAGCGTCGGAGTGCCATGTGCAAGTACCCTCCCCCTCGCCGAAATATTCGTTTGGAGCTCTCGTTCGGCTTTTAGAGTACGAGAAGATTTCTAGTGTGCCCTTCAGACAGGTACATTTTGGCACCCACCGTGGGGCCGAACCAAGACTTTTGTGAAGATTAAAAGAGCAAGCTGAGCAATGGCAAAAACGAGGAAGACGAACATGGAGGGCCATCGATCTGATGGAGAAGAGGACCATGTGGAGGTTGTCGACGAAACGGACCTCTCCGAAACCGTTCGTCAGCTGAAAGAAGAAATGGCTGCGATGAGGCAACAACAAGAGAAAGATGCAAGGGAACTTTCAGCCTTGAAAGCAGAAAATGCTGCACTAAAAAATCAAGATCCTTCATGGAAGCCTACTCAGCCAACCCCTACTCAAACCCAAGGATCTTTCCAGTCCCACGAGATCCACACTTTGGTCCCTCGTGCTTCAGCCACTGCACCAGAAAAGTTCCAATCGGCTATACCCACAGTCGGCCGATCCACGGACCTAGCACCGATTGGATCACACCGACACCCCTTTACCCCATCTATTATGCAATTACCTTTGCTGGATAATTGGAAATCCTTGTCAATCGATAAGTATGACGGCACGACGGACCTTGATGAGAATCTTGACATTTTTCTTACGTAGGTAACGTTGAGCACCATGGATGACGCCGCTTTGTGTTGAATTTTTCCAACATCTCTCAAGGGCAGGGCCTTGAGTTGGTTCACTCGGTTTCCTCCCAACTCTATCTATTCCTTCTACACTCTGTCCTCTTAGTTCACTATCCAATTCGCAACAAGTCGTCCACACAATCTAACATCCTTGTCACTAGTCAGTCTTCGGCAAGACAAGAAGGAGTCGCTTCGGGCTTTTATGGATTGGTTCAATAAAACTGCATTAGAAATTATGGATCTTAACCCAGCTGTGACACTCCACCACCTCACAACGGCTTTGAAACCGGGGTCGTTCGTCAATAGCATTTGCAAGAAACCCCTCATAGACATGAATGACCTGCGAAGACAAGTCGATAAGTACATGCAGATGGAAGAATTAGCTGACTTCCGCAACCAAGCCCGAGCTGAAACCATGGGAAAGAATGAGAAGACGATGGAGCAACCATTTAGGGGTCGTAACAAGGAAATAACACTTCGAGAGTGACCTATACGTCGTCCGAAGTATTCTCAATATACTCCTCTGAACGCAAGTTGGGCAGCGGTGCTCGAACAGGCCCTTGCATCGGAAGTGTTGTTCGTTCCGAAGAGAGCCTCAACACCCCCACGCGTTGACACAAACAAATCTTGCCGATACCATCGCAATCGGGGTCACTCCACTAAAGAATGCGCATCCCTAAAAGATAAGATTGAAGACTTAATCAAGCAAGGGCAACTCTAAAATTTCGTCGAACAGCCAACCTCAACTCGTCCTCGGTCAAGGTACCAGCCTCGGTACCGTGACCAACACGAAAGCAAGCGTTCGGAAAGACATCTTCGTGAGCGTAGCCGGTCAAGAGAAAAGAAAGAAGAACCCCACACATCGCACAGGCGCGTTATTAACACGATTGCAGGAGGGTTTGCTGGAGGAGGCACAACCTCATCATCCCAAAAGAGACATTTGCGTGCGGTTCGGGCAGTGCAGGCAGTTGAGAAAAGACCTTCAAGAAGGTTGCTAGCTATAACCTTCACAGAAGATGATTTCCGAGGCTCGACCCTATTCAAGACGACCCGATGGTAATCAGCGTAGAAATACGCAATTGCATTGTTAAAAAGACGTTGGTAGATCAGGGCAGTTCGATTGACATCCTATACTGGAACACATTCAAACAACTCGGCATCCCTGAGGAAGAACTAATTCCTTACAACGAGCCACTTGTTGGCTTTGACGGAGAGAGGGTCAACACCAAGGGATACATCAAACTTTTTACTCAATTTTGTTTCGATGAGAAAGAATACAGAGATGTCCAAGTGAAGTACATTGTGGTGTACGCCAACACCTCATACAATATACTACTTGGTCAGCCCTCATTGAACGCTCTGGGGGCAATCGTCTCGACACCGCACCTCGCCATGAAATTCCCGAGTGATAGAGGAAACATTCTCACAATACATGCTGACCAGAAAGCAGCCTAAGAATGCTATTTTGCCAGCTTAAGAATCACCCGTTTGGCTGAAGCGCCAAGGTCAAGAAGAGTGAATGGTGTAACTCCTCTACCCTCGAAATCCCTTCCTTCTCCGTGGGATCTTGACCCAAGGTTAAATGACGATGAACGAGTGGAACCAATAGAGGACAAGATGGCTTTGCAAATCGGCGATCAAAAGTCACAAATTACATACATGGGGATCGAATTATCGGAGCCCGATCGGGCAATACTAAGTGCGGTAATTATGAAAAACAAAGACCTCTTCGCATGGGCCCCTTTGGATATGCCGGGAATCGATCCAAATTTCATGTGCCACAAGTTGTCGGTCTGTCGGGAGGCCAAGCCAATAGCCTAACGAAAAAGGAAAATGAGGATTGAAAGAAAGTTAGCGGTTGAAGAGGAAGTCACCAAGTTACTCGGCGTTCACTTCATTCGGGAGGTGCAATACACAACATGGCTGGCGAATGTGGTCATGGTCAAAAACTCAAACAGAAAATGGAGAATGTGCACCGACTATACTAGCCTTAACAAGGCGTGCCCGAAGGATGCTTACCCATTATCGAATATCGACCGATTGGTTGACGGGGCGTCGGGGCACAACGTCTTGACCTTTTTGGATGCCTATTCCGGATACAATCAAATTCGGATGCACCCCCGAGACGAGGAAAAAACCGCCTTTATCACTGATTCGGCCAACTATTGTTATCGAGTGATGCCATTCGGCTTGAAGAATGCGGGGGCCACCTATCAAAGGCTCATGGACAAAATCTTTCGACACCAGCTCGGTAAGAACATGGAAGTATATGTAGACGACATGGTTGTTAAGTCGGGTAACCTTGACAAACATGTTGCCGACTTAGCAGAGGAGTTCCAACAGCTCCGGAAACATGACATGAGGCTTAACCCTGAAAAATGCATCTTCGGGATAGTTGGTGGCAAATTCTTGGGTTTTATGCTTTTGGCGAGAGGCATTGAAGCTAATCTAGACAAATGTCGGGAAGTAGTCGAGATGAGAAGCCCATAAAATATAAAAGAGGTATAGCGACTTGCTGGCCGACTTACCACCTTGTCAAGATTCCTCCCATGCTTGGCCGAAACAGCAAAGCCGATCACGAGGTTGCTGAAAAAGGTCAACAAGTTCGATTGGCCTGACAATTGTGAAACGACTTTTGTGGCATTAAAACAGAAACTCGGTACTCCATCAGTCCTCTCCAAGCCCGATCCCCAACTAGACTTGATCGTATACTTATGTGTATCGAATGAAGCAATCAGTGCAGTATTGGTACAAGAAAGAGAGACACAGACACCTATCTATTTCATCAACTGCCTACTCCAAGAATCAGAAGGAAGATATCAGCTACTAGAAAAGGTTGCGCTTGGACTCGTCCACACAGCTCAGCAACTCCAACAATATTTCCAAAGCCACTGGGTTATAGTGTGCACCGATTGTCTGATTGCCAAGGTTTTGAGGAAACCTGAGTTAGCGGGACGAATGATGGCTTGGTCAATTAAGTTATCAGAGTTTGACATTACATTTGAACCAAGGGGCCCGATCAAATCACAATGCTTGGTCGATTTCGTAAATGAACTTCAGCCGAAAGGGCACTTTGAGAGCGATCAGTGGGTGATGCATGTAGATGGCTCCTCTAATAATCGAGGTAACGGGGCTGGAATAATTCTTGAAGGACCCACAGGTTTGGCACTCGAACAATCTCTACACTTTGCTTTCAAGGCGTCAAACAACCAAGCCAAGTATGAGGCGCTGTTAGTAGGTCTTAGATTGGCACAAGAGGTCGGGGTCAAAAGATTGATTTATTGGACAGACTCCTAGATAGTCGCTGAACAGGTCAACAACCACTTTCAAGTCAAAGACACTAATCTGATGAGGTACTATCACCTTTTTTGGGGCATGTGCCACAATTTTGACAAAGTACAAGTCAAACACACACCTAGAGAGAATAATGAGAGGGCTAATCAGCTAGCTCGGTTGGCTAGAAGTAGCCGCAAACCTGGGCAACTTCGAACCACTCTCCACTTAGAATTGTCTAACCCAAGTGTTGACTTTTACGAATGCATGGAAGTGGACGAATCAAGAGCAACTTGGATAAAGGAGTTGCTCGATTTTATTTTACTTGGGAAGGAACCAGCGGATGCTTCGACCGCTAAGAAATTGCGCACCCAAGCCGCCAGGTACTCGGTCGTGGGTGGAGAGCTATATCGGAGAGGCTTCTCGACACCGTTACTTAAGTGCATCGACCCAGAGCAAGCCGATTACGTGTTGAGAGAAGTCCATGAAGGCATTTGCGAATCTCACTCGGGAGGAAGAACCTTAGCAGCTAAAGTACTAAGGGCGGGGTACTATTGGCTAACTTTAAAGAGCGATTACACGCAATTTGTCAAGAGATGTCCCCAATGTCAAAAGCATGGCAACCTCATTCACGCATCGGCCGAGGAACTACACAACATCAGTTCACCATGGCCTTTCACGTTATGGGGGATGGACATACTTGGCCCTTTTCCCCTTGCCAAAGGCCAATGCAAATTCCTGTTGGTTGCCATTGACTACTTTACAAAATAGATTGAAGATGAACCATTAGCTACAATCACAGCAAGCATGGTTCAAATGTTCCTCTAGAAAAATATCATCACACACTTCGAGATCCCATATGCCATCATAACGGATAACAGGCTTCAATTCAAAGACCAAAAATTAAACAAGTTTATACAAGACTTGGGCATTCGGCACCGATTCACATCGATCGAACATCCGCAATCAAACAGACAGGCTGAGGCTGCAAATAAAGTGATCCTCACGGAATTAAAAAAATGTTTGGGCAACGCTAAGGGCACTTGGGTCGAAGAACTACTGGAAGTACTATGGGCCTATCGATGCACTCCTCAATCCACAACCAGGGAGACTCCCTTTCAGTTAACATATGCCATCGATGCCATGATCCCCGTCGAAGTCAGAGAACCCTTCTTCTGGCGGCTTCATTTTGATGAAAACTCCAATGATACATCCCTCCGAACCGAAATCGATATGATCGACGAGGTTCGCGACAAAGCCTAGATTGTTTCGGAAGCTTGCAAACAACGAATGACTCGACGGTTTAATTCAACACTCACACAGAGGGAGTTCAACGAAGGAGACCTAGTGATGGAATCATGCTTTGGAGTGCAAGAGGTGACATACTCAAAGATCCAAGAGGAGTTGGCTAGACATGAAGGTTTGGGCCAGTCAGGGCCAATGGGCCTCGGAAGGCCCAAGTTGAACTTTTCATGGGCCATATTTTGTTATAGCTATTTTCATATGTTTTGTATACATCATGTTAGTATAGGTATCATATATTTTGGTCTTGTATTTTGGACCACATAGAGTAGCATTTTAGGTTTTAGGCTTGTTGGGCCTAGTTTTGGGCGTCATGGGCCTTTGGGCTTTTGGTACCCAATATTGGGCTCATTTTCATTCTTGTAATTTTTCCTTTCCATTGTATTTGTTTGACCATTGTATTTAGGTCATTAGATTAGGAAAATACAAGAAATACTAAAGTAGGTTAACTAGGTTAAATTAGGTTTAATTTGGAAGCCATTTAAGTTACATTTGAGTCACATGTTTTGCACCAATTGGTGGCTGAACATGTGACACTCAAATTAACCCTAAATGACTCTCAAATCAGACCTAGATGCACATTAGATACCTAAACTCACGGCCACACCCATGTGCACCAAAATTTGAATTCAAATTTCCAATTTGAATTCAAATTTTAGGCGCCAACTTGTGTAGTTTAGTCTAGGTGCCAAAACCGTCCCTACTTAAAGTGTTTCTCCTACACATTGTAATCACTTTTGA